TGCAGTCGACGGGAATAATAACAAAAGAGTTCAAGTGAGGTACACTGACCAGCCATCAACTTATTACCATGAGCGATTGTTGAATGACCACGAAGCACCAAAGGCCACTCTATTAAGAGTCTTGATGACAAAGTTAATAAAGGTCATAGAAAATAAATAATACTTCAAGCATGAGCCTCCAATGAGAGCTGGAGCTTTTCTTTGAGAACACTAAGAAGTATTGTGCTTATCACATAGACAATGATCATGATACAGAGGAGTGTAGACACCTTCGAAGCTTGGTCGATGAGTTAATAAGCATTGTAAGGCTTAAGGAGTCGTGGCGCTAGAATCTATGACCTAGAGGCACCTGTGGAAGTAATCTCAGATGAGCCAATGCGGACTAATGTCATCCTTATCGATGGGATAGTGTGAGCAATTTTTGAAGGAGTTGGAGAATCCTGCTAACGAGTCAATCAGAAGAGGCTTTGATAAGAAGAACTTTTTGCGCAACTCTCGACCAACAATTACATTCACTGATACGGACTTGCTCCCAAGAGAGAACCTATACAATGATTTCATCATAATGATGATGATGATTGTCAATTACCAAATAGGATGCATTCTAACTGACAGTCGCAGCTCTATGAACATATTGTTCAAGTTTGTGTTCGATAAAATGAAACTTCAATCCGACCGGTTGGTGGCACTAACTGGCTTACTTTACGATTTCTATGGTGAGAGAAAGGAGGCCATAGGAGTGATTGCACTACCAGTCGCTTAGGGAAAAAGAAATAAGCCATTCTCCACATTGAAGATTGTTGGTTAGTAGATTTTTCCCCAACTTAAAACGAGATCTTTGATTGTCTTTTGTTGAACGATTACAAAGCTATGATCTCTACGGACCACAACAACAACAACAACAACAACAAAGCCTTAATCCCACTACGTGGGGTCGGCTACATGAATCCTTTTTCTCCATTGCGTCCTATTTAGTGTCATATTTTCATTTAGTTCTAGTAAATTAAGATCATTTTTAATACAATAAGCCCAAGTCTTCCTAGGTCTACCTCTGCCTTTCTTAACACAAGTCGAATTTAAAATTTCCTTTCAGAAAAAACTTGGAGCAGTCCCATATGATATACCTCAGAGCCTTCAAAAGCATCGAGCAAGAGCCGCTCAAACTCCAAAACAAATATGAAGTGGGTCTCGAGACCTACATGGCCACCCATAAAAGTACCTGCAATCGATGTCGGGGGATGGTAATTTTTTTCTATTAAGTCAAAATTTTGATGCTTGGATGAAAGACATGCCTTGGAGACCATTGAGATGTCTTTGCTTGATCTACATCAAAGATGTTAAGAATTTCACTCGATGTCACCTGCCATCGGTTGAACGTGAATCTAGTGCCCCAGCCAACGAAGCAAAATAAGTTCTCAATCATGACTATGACGGGACCAATTCAGTAGAAGGTCCAGAAGCTAAAGGAGGCAGGCTAGATGCTGGAGGTGCAACAACCAATGTGGGTCTCTAATGTGGTCATGGTATAGAAGGCGAATGAAAAGTAGATGATGTGTGTGGACTTCTCCAACTTGAATGTTGCCTGCCCGAAAGACAGTTACCCCCTATCAAGATCGGCACATTTGTGGATTTGGCGGTCAATCATATTGTAATGAGCTTCCTAGATGCTTTTTCCGGTTATCACTACATAAAGAAGCATCAGGTTGATGAAAAAAATAAAACATTTGTCACTAGTGAGGGTATGTGCTATTATAACCTAGTGCCCATTGAGTTTAAAATTTTTGGGGCTACTTATTAGTGATTTATGTATGTGATTTTCTCCAAGGAGAAATGAAACAAAATATTAAAGTGTGTTTGATTGATATGTTGATTAAAATCCAGTAGAAAAACAACACATAAGACTTAAAAGGTACCTTTTAAAACCCTTCAAAAATATAACATGCACAGTTAAGTTTCTCGGCTATCTCTTGACCCGATAGGGAATAAAAGCTAACTTAGAGAAAGCACATGCATTGTTTAACATGTCATCTCCCCGAAACACAAAAGAAGTCCAAGAGTAAACCAGTTAAATAGCGGGCCTAAGCCGGTTGATTTCAATTTTGGATGACAAATGTGCAACATTTATCAAGATGCTTTGGAAGATGAAGAACTTTGAATGTTTGATTGAATGTGAGAATGCATTCATGAAGTTGAGAGTCTTTGATGTTGCCGCCACTACTTCAAAGTTTAAAGCAAAATTAAGAATTCTCTCTATGCTTGGGAGTTGTACCTGAGGCCATTAGCTTGGTAATAGTTTGAAAAGAGTTGGGGAAGCAATTTTTAATCAACTACACTAGTCGGGTTCTCAGGAAAAAAACTAGCATTCACTCGATTGTTTCTGCTCGCATACTTTGACAACACATCTAAACTCATCCTATTTAGGTCATCATTGGCCATCAACTAAATTTCATCCTCAATTACAAGGAGCATTCCATTCGGCTCATTGAATGGTAGGTCGAGTTAAGTGAGATTGACATCTCTTGTATCCCTCAAACGATAATTGGAGCATAAGTAGTAACAACTTTTTAGTGGATTTCTTTGAGTCATGTGAGCTGAGCAAAGGACCCATGGCTGACTATTAGAACTCGGTCTTATACATTATTGGAGCCTCCAACCATAAGGGGGGCAGGAATCAGACTTGCTATGAGCAATCCGACCAATGAACATCTTTACCATTTAGTCGACATTGAATTTGTTGTTACCAACAATCAGGCAGAATAAAAAGCCTCATCTATCGGTCTGTATCTAACATATTAGATGGGTGACCGACATCTTCTTATGAAGACATACTTCCAATTAGTAGTTAATTAGGTGAACATTGAATTATAAGCCAGAGATGAGATGATGACCAAGTATTTCAACAAAGCCAAAACAGAGATCTAGAAGTTTGTCAACTTCAAAATTGAACACATCACTAAGAAAGACAACCAAGTGGTCGATCTTCTATTTAAGTACATCTGCATGGGAGAGGGAATTAAAGAACCTGAAGAAATGAAGGTGAAGACTAAAGAGATGAGAAACTAAATGGATCCTTACATCCACTTCTTAAAAGTATGATAAGTTCATTGAGGAAATCACCGACCACAAAAGATTCAATTGGAATGAAGCTCAATATCTTTTGATCAAATGGAAACTCTACAGAAACCCGACCAGTTTGCTCTATTAGAGTTGTATTAGAGAAAGTGAAATAGAAGACATTCTCGGGGGGGGTACACTTTGGGGAGCGTGAGAGTCACTCTTGAGGAAGATCCTGACGCATAAGATTCAACGACAAGGTTACTTATGGTCGATGCCCCTGAAAGGTGTGAAAGAATTTTAAAGGAGGTACGAGCAATGCCAGATGTACACACCACTAAAACACTAGTCGGCTCAAACTACAATCGATCGTTAGCCCTTGGCTTTCTGCCGTCTTGAAGCTCAACATCCTTGGTTCATTCCCAACATCAAAGGGTCAACACAAATTCCTTTTGGTCATTGTGGAGTACTTCTCGAAGTGGATCAAAACAAGGTTCTCGCTCGAATAACTACGAAGGTCATCCAAAACTTCATTTGGATGGACCTAATTCGTCGGTATGGGCTGTTGACAACGTGACATAGTTCACATACCAAGGAGTAAAAAACTTCTGCCATAATCAGGGGTATCTTATGTTGTCTCTGTGCCCCGATCAGGCACAATACCTCTTGCAACTACTTTCTTTACATTCTAATATGTCGCTGTGCACCACACTATATGTATTTGTACTTGAACCTTTCACTCTTACACGCTTGTCTGCATGACATTTTGTATGTGCATGTTGTTTTGCACATGAGATTGTGTTCTTACACATTCATTTCAGTACTCTTATGTCTTCTTTGGGGACGTCTTGCATATCAAGCCTACACGGTGTGTAATTCTCTCTGACGAGGACTACACTACCTCCTCTGCGACAACACTTTAGAATGTTGTAGGTAATTCTCATTGTCACTAGGCACAAGTAATGCTTCCTAGCCCTTGAACCTGCCAAATGCACGATTTGACTTCACTAAGGTATATGACCCACCCTCACTTAGCTCGGGTCATGCTTCTTAGCCTCTGAACCCGCTTGGCACATCCCTCACTTAGCTCGAGTCATGCTTCTTAGCCTCTGAACCCGCTTGGCACATGAGTCATATCAAGTCATATTTCTCATCCCTTGTGACATCACCCCACACTATCATGAGCACATCTTTACATGGAGGGCGTGTTTGTTTATTTTTATGATGTGCTACACTTTGTATGTGACTGTCATTTGCCTGCATGCTTGGTCATTATTGGAGCAATGTGTAATTCTCTCCTGCGGCATCCTATACCCTATGTGGCCAAACACATCACCTGTGTGGTGTCTTGCACACACATCTTCATATTATTGGCATATTCGTCACTAGTATATGCCACCGTATGTTTGTGCCTAGTATTCACTATCTCGCGATCACTCTTACTCTGACGGAGCGATCACAATGCACTGGATCACTTTGCATCTGCATGTGCATTCCCAACTGTTTCGACAACAAAGCTGGCTTGTTAGCTGACTAACTCGTTGTTGGACGCGTTGCGTTAGCGAGTATTGCCCACGAGGATGTCTCAACAGGCAATACCAACTATCGCATCATGACTAGCACACATGCTGTGCCAAGGTTTCGAAAGGTCTAATAGGTACCATTTATATTTTTTCCATCTTAGGGCCTACTTTTAAAATATAAAAAAATTAAATATTTTTATTATGTATGCATCATATTTCAAATATTTTTTTTTTTTGAAACTATTTACATCCTTAGTTTAGACCATAAGGTCAACATTTTAAAGCTCAATGTTATACATGTAAAACAATTATAGGGCAAAATTTTTAGGAAGATATGCATCCAAGCCACACAATTCCTATGTATTTAGACTATATGCCCCACAATTATGAGGGCTAATTTTTATAGTAAAAGTTTCCCATAATTTTGGTAGCGCTTATGAAGACTGGCGCGCCGTGGAAATTTTCGTTCCCTGCTGCACAATTTCGGGTTCTTTTCGCATCTCTTTCTTTTCTCTTCAGAACGAACCTCCGGCTACACTCCTTTTCTCCCGGCGGCGAACCCCGACTACATTCCGTGGAAACGGAGAGGAAAAGGAGAGTAACAGGGTTTCCGTGCGGTTGTTTTACGTCGGGAGTGGAGAGGTACGAAGAGAGCGTTCTATTCAGTCAAACTAGGGTTTTACGTTGGAGTGCTTCTGGGTCTACGACGGGTGTTGGGGAAGTTTGGGTGCTTGGTTGAAGTTTCCGCTCATTCAGTGATTTGGTCCGCCGCAGGTGCACGTATGTTGTTTTCTTTTGTATTGCATGGGATTGTTGATTTTGTGGATTTGGAGGGTAATGGGAGTAGGGTTTCGGTTGTTACTTTCGATAGATTTGGTTTCTTTATGCGTTTGATGGGGATTTGGGAGTCCGATTGTTTTTGCCGGATTCGGTAGTTTTTATCGTTTTTGAAGTTTTCTGCTGTTTTATTGCTTTTCGTCAGGGTTGGGTCTTTGTGGACTGAAATTTCCTGCCATGGGGTTTTGGATCTCTCAGCGTTGGTTTGGGTTGCGTTGAAATTTCCTGATTGTATTGTTTTTATGACATTTCTCATTTTGTTTTTCAACTTGCTTACTGTTGTCTCTTCAAGCATTTGATGAGTATACCAATGGAAAGACGTCTCATCGTTTGGAGTCATTTTTAGTCTTCTTTACTGGAAAAGTCTCATTTCATCAAGGAAAGAATGAGGTGCTAAGAAGATCGTTTTGTTTTCTTCTATTTCTGCAGTTCAAAGATAGCACTGCTCACTTTTTGGAGGTTCTGTCTCACTGGGCAAGCATCTTCAGCACATTTGTACCCTGGTTTTGACATCGTTTTCTGAAGTGTGAAGAAATTGCTCAGGTAATGTGAGCTTTACTAATTTGTGATGCCTTCATCTACTTGGCCTCGTGCCTTATGCTTCTGTTTTTCTGTTGTTTTGTTTTTTCCATCTAACTGAGAGGGAGAGCCTTGTGTCCGATGCATGTTGGGTTTTCTCTGGCAAAATATATAATTCTGGAGAAGTAAGTTTTTTGTTACTTGCCTTCTGCATTTGCATGTCACTAGAGGTAGTACTTCTTGTGATGTCTATTGATTTGTATTGTGCATCATTATAATGGATTTCCCTAAAAAAATTATAAACTGTTGTTTTTATTTATGGTGGACTTTGGTTTTATTCCCATCTCTTCTATTTAGGGTGTAGATTCATGTCATGTTTGGAAGCTTTTTTGTTTTGAGATAACACAGAACTTGCAGAGAGAATAAATTTGGATGCATTTGACCGTTTCATATTTGCAAGGACAAATGGGTTTATGAAAGTAGTCAAATACGTATTTTCACTTGATTTATTAAAATACTATTTGTAAAGCAATCTTTTGCTTGTATAGCCAACCAGTACTTATCAATATTAATATTATAATAACTTTTGAAAACTGTTTTGAATAATAACTGTAAATTATAATGACTATCAAATAATTAGTTATGCTTTACAAAAGTTAATGTATTTAAATAGCATGTTTATATATTATTCTATTACTTCACTAAATAGTTAATATAATTGTTTTGTAATTTGCTTAAGTTTTAATGATACTAATGATCAAATATGATATATTATTATTGATATAAAATTTTAAAATTATTACTTTCACAATATAATTCAGTTGTTTAATATTTATATATTTTTAAAATTATATAAAATTTTAATAATAATAGCTTTTGTTAATAGCAATGAAAGAAGATGTTTTATGGTAATAATTTTTTTGTAAATAAACAAAATTATCGTATTAAAGAATTTTTTTATATTTAATTAATATATATCAAATAAAAAGTTTATTATAATTTATTGAACAGAATTTTCAACTATTCAGTTATGGTTGAACATTGCAGTTCTATGATCTAAGCTAGAATAATACGGTTCTGCTATTTAATAGCTAATTATTTTCTTACAGTTAGAATATTTGCTTATATATAATTTTATTTTTATTTTAATTCTAAATGCTTTTGATATGATTTAATTATATTATTAATTCAGCTGAGTTTATGATTAGCTAATACTATTTGAAACATAAATAGCTCGAGTATCGTTTATTCAAAGTGTTTATTATAACACAAGATTTTTATGGTTTGTGAACCCACATTTAATGAATTGTTATGTTCCTTTTTTATAATATTCCAAGATCCTATTTAGCATAGCAAGCATATATATATTTTTTTGAGAATGTAAAAAGATGAATTTGCAAGTGCAATTCTTAAGCATATGCAATCTTACTTTTCCCTTAATTCTTAAACTTTTATGGACATTCAATTCTTACTTAGAACTAATAATTCAATTGTTTGATAAAATAGTAACATGCACATGATGCAATACATGTTCTCAATTGGCTGAGAAAATTGAAATGATTGAATGGATTAAAGATTATTGTGTGCTAGTTAAGATGAATGCATGAATGGCCAACAACTAGTTGATGGAGTTAATGAATTTTAGGATCTTATCATTTGGAAATCATTAAAGGATGAAATGACTAGAAGATTAGAGATATATTAAATTGCAAGCCTGTGCTTTAAACTCTTAGCTTTTTTGGCCTAGCAAGCTTTTTTGTTTGATTTTTTCTTGTCATATTGACTATTTTGCGTTTTTTTATTACCTTTATAAAAAATTATATGATAAAGTTTCTAGTTCTTTATTGATACAATAGAATCAAATGCCTTCTTATGTGGGAAAAAATGATGTGCTATTTTGGTGATTGGTACTAAATAAATTATTGGAGGACCCCTTGAAAGTAAACTTAATTACAGCATATAATCTCTGAAAGCCAACAAAGAGAAGCAGTAGAGTCTACAAGAGGTAGTTGAAAGGTGCCCTGAAAGTCTCAAGAGGGAGAGGAAAATTGGCGCACAATTTAAAGAAGTAATCATGTGCTAGGTGTGAAAATTATTCGAGACTAGTTTCTTGGCTTGCTCTATGAGGCTAAATCAAAAGGCTTTTGCATGATTTAGAATGATTACTTTTTGAATGATTAATTCACATTTGTTATTAGTTCGTGGAAACAGGGTGCATTTTAAGCCGTGTAGAATGCCTTAAATAAGTGGAAAAGAAAAATGAATTGTCTAGCATTTCTTACTGAAATGCAAATCATTTGTTTAAGTATATTGTGATGTGCTTTGCCCAATCCTATAGTAACATGTGTCTTATTAACTGGCAAGGTATTTTAGATATATTATTGCATGTTACCGATTTAGCTTTATGCTATATTCTGAAGATCTGAGTTTGGCTATTTGTTTATACTAATTGAACTAATGGTGGTGATCAGCTCTAATCCACTTTTGGATATACATTTTAGATAGATTGAGGAGCTATCTCTTGGAGTAAGAAGAGAATATCACATGTTTCCAAAGTTACTTTGGATAAGCATGTTGGCTTTGCTGCAATAGGAGGCTAGTTGGCTTTTAAAATTACATAGGGGCCATTTGATCTGTTAAAAGAAGGAATGTAGAGTAAAATAAATGCCGTGTTATTGAAATATTTTATATTTCAAATATTTTAGAGTTTTTTTTTTTTAGTGTAATATAAACACGTGTGATATTTTTCTGGTGTTTGGTTTGAAGTAAAGATAAATTCAATGTAATGCTCGATGATAAAAGTAGTGGATACCAGCCGACAGCCTACGGTCGAGGCTAAGGTAGGAAGTTGGAGGCTGTGGCCAGCTGTTGGTGGCTATGATGGGTGACAATGGTGGTAGATTGTGCAGTGTATTTGAAAATTGATGGAATCTGTTGAGTTTTGGAGTCACTGATTGAATAAAAGGATAATTTTTAGATACATTAAATTTTACACAACAATTCTTTTTCGTCAACCAGGCACTAAACTTTTGAAAATCAATGCATTTTTTTAACATTACCTTGGTAATACAAAAAACCAAATGGCCCCTTAGTCTTAGCATATTTTTCCATAACGGGCTCCATGCTTGATTTTGGGGCTCAAGCATTTGATATATAGCGTGTTACCTATGCTATCACTTATTGATTCTTTGTTGTAATATTGGGCATGACACTAGATTCACTAACCATGTTTTGAAAAAAGTGTCTGTACAACTTTAAGAACTTTTTACACGATGCTTAGCATTGATGCATTATTCTGGTTTTAGTATGGCTAAGTGTTATAGCTCTTATTTTTTTTACTAAGTATAAAGTCAAAATATTGATACCAATGTACGTTTGGGAGATTTAAATTTTGAGGTTGTCTAAATGCAATTTTATAATAAGGAGCTAGCATGTGTTATGTCCACATAGTTTATGTTTAGTACTACATTTTGTGGTTGTGAAATTTTTATTTGATTCAGTTTACATGAATAAATATAGTTGCTTAACCCCACGTAATCAGAAAATGCTTTGAAGTTCAAACTTTGCTTTGTAAATTGAGGTAAAATTTATTGTAGATGAATTCTGCAGGATGAACATTTTGATTCGTCTTTTTTGGGCTGCATAGCGAGTGACAAAGGTTTTCATAATTAGCTCGAACGAAGAAGCCCCCAGTTGTTATGATTTTTGGAAGTGATCTGGGGTTCGTTATCACCTAAAATTTTCTTCTTCGGCGTAGAACGAGTGCATGAAGCTAGTTTTTGTGATTACCAAGCTCTATTTTTGTGAAAAATGAGGTGCAGTCTTTTTTTATTTTTTTTTATTTTTTTCAGAATCAGGCCATTGATGAGTAGATTTTTGTTGGTAAACCTTTACTTTATAGATATCCAATTCATTTTTAAATTTCAGTTAAATTATTTAGAATAATACTTTACTCATATACTTTCTAAGGCATCCACGCTTAAAATCTCATATATTTTTTCTTTTGCCATAAGCTTTTGTGGTTATGCAGTCCACTTTTGATAGCGCGGCATAAGCTTACGGTACAGAAAAAAGGAGGTTTTATTTTGTGGATTTTTTGGGGGACTGAAGCCTCACTCAATAAATTGTTCCTATCATTTGTCTCTTGGGATGTACAAAGAAATTTTTTATTCTACCATCTCTCTAAAATTTGATGTCCTTGGCTGGAGTTTAGCCACCTATTTTAAGCCTATCCCAAGATCTGACATTTGTCAAGACACATTTCTCAGGTCTAATTATGGATGTATCAATGCATATCTTCGGACGTATAGACATTTGGTGTTTGTATGCCTGCATATGTTTTTATGGGTGAATTCATGCATATATGAAAGTTATTTCATATAGCATTTATCATTTTAGAACATTGATAGCATAATATACATTTTCTATTGATAGTGTTGTTTACATTGTAATATGTATTGCTTCTTTTATATATATTGATATACATATACATATGTGTGTGTGTGTGTGTGTGATTGTGTTGATGATATATATTCTATGATGAAGGTGTGCATAGCTCTCTTGTCCACTTCTGAGTAGCTTATACAAACAAGTAATTCTGTAAAAATGTGGACACAAATTACTGCATGCTTCTTACCTTGCCTTCGTTTTCCTTTCTTGTTTCGATCCAATAGCACATTTCTCGGTTTCCATTTCCATCTATATTAACCAAATCGGCCTTTTAAGGCGTTCATGTTCTCACTTTACTTGCTTATTAGCTGTTTTTATATATCTTCTTAGAGTATTCTAGCAAAAACAAATGCCGGTTTTCTGTAGAAATTCTGGGTAGATTTTCAGCCCTCTGTTGTTCTCTCATGTTTTTGGTATGCCAAGTGACAAAAAAATATATTTACTGTGCTTTGACGGTTGCCTTTTTTCTCGTTATCTACTAAATTCCATTGGGGAGAAAATGTAATGCTGTAGTTTTTCCATTATTATGGTATATAATAATTGGATGTCTAAATTTTTGTTTATTATTATTATAT